ATACTGATATGGTTTAATGGTTTGCTGGATGAGAGCATTACATCCTAGACGAATTTTTGTGAGCAATTTTTTGCATTCTTCACAACCCAGAAGAGACTACAAGTCACCGAAGCATCCATAATAGGGATTATCCCGAAAAAGAAGGAAAGTTTGCAGTCTTACATAGACAGATTCATGCAAGTTACGGTTAAAGTTAAAGGGGGCGGACAGGGCCTTTAGCGTTAGATCTTTGATATGACCTCTTAAGTGACCATCCATTCAATTCGAAGATAGGGAGAAGAAAATGAAGACCATCCAAGAGATGATAACCATGGATAAGTTGTAATGCTTTTATAGGAGAAGTTGAGCATGTGTTTCAACAATCCTGCATCACCCAAAACCCACTCCAATCACCTGACTGGGATGGAGTGCCATCAATGCTAGGATGAATCTGACCGAGGTGTGCAGAGACGGTATGACAAGTACACCCCCTGACAGTCTCTCAAAAAATATCTACCAACACTATGCCAACACCGAATTATGGAATGGAGGAGTCAAACATTCGTATCCTATAAGGGAAACATCTAAACATGATTGATTTAAATGTATTTATGCTTAATTATGGATATTTGTTTTATTGTGCTTCAATGAAAATTGTAATTAACCTGGCTAGGACTTAAGGGAGCTTCCAAAACTCACCCTTAGGACTTTCTAACTTAGGAGGAGCTTACAAAGCTCACCCTTAGAACTATCAGACTCAAGGAAGCTTATAAACCTCAGACCCTGAAGTCAGAATGTTAAGTAAATCAACAACCAATGTTCTTAAATACTTGTGTTTGTCATTATCAAAAAGGGGGAGATTATTGGAACAAATTTGGTGTATACCATATCCCTTGGGTTCTGATGATAATAAAGAATTTGAAGAACAATTAGGTAGACAAATGTATATTCAAGTGTACACGTACGAAGATCAATATACTGATTGAAAATCAATTTTAAAAATGCATTGAAAATTGAAACAGAAACTTTCTAAGAGGCAGATTCTAAAGACCCGACTTATGATCAAGATGATCAGGATCTGATGTCTCCAGACTCTAAAAAAGCCAACATCTAAAGAGTTAGAGTCTGAAGGATCAGAAGCCGAGACTCAAACTCTGAAGGACCATAACCTGAACCCAATCAAAGCTCAAGAATTAAGGAAGTCTTGACACATCACTATTAGACTTTGAGGTTAATTTTTCTTGTTCTTGTCACGTGATAACTCGGAAGAAAGTTGCAGAAGGCTGAAGATTTTTCAACTGATAATTCTTATTTTAAAAAGTAATTTCAGATGAAGTTGTAACGGCATTATCCATTTGAGGAAGCTTTGCAACGGATTTGTTGATGCTTCTCTGCGACATCTTCTCTACATTATCATTTATTTGGTAGATAAATTGTTAGAAGTCTCTTGCCTATGTGCTTGAGCAAGAAGTCTCTTTCTTTTGTTCTTGATCATTTGTGAAAGTCTCTTGCTTATGTGCTTGAGCATTTGTGAAGTCTCTTACTTTTATGCTTGAGCATTTTAAAGTGTTTTGTTTATGTTCTTGAGAAATTTGTGAAGAATAGAAAAACACAAGAATGGGGGGTTTGAATTGGGGTTTTCAAAAATAAAATAGTAGACATGTTGGTTATCCTAGTTTGTTTGAACTCAAACTACTCTAGTCCACTCGCCAAGATGATTTTGCCTCTCTCAAATGAGGTCTTAATCCACTAATCAAAACTTGATTACACAGATACAATGACTATTATCAATGTCTTCTTGAGTTTAAACCACAACTCGGTTTTCTCAAGGTATTACAAGATAAATCAATTAAAGGCGTGTACAAACATGTTTTCTAAACAAAAATATATCACAACAGTGATGTATACACAATTGTAAAGCACAAGATAGAACTGGATAAGAATATTTCTCTTTTGGTGCGCAGTAGAGTTGTGTTGTATTTATTCTTCAAGTTTTCTTTATATAGGCGATGCATGAGAGACATTAGAAGATGTTTTTGAAAGATTGATAAAGTATAGTTAATGTATTATCCAAAAATATATATCTTGTCTTGATCCAGCCGTTACTTTTGGTTTGTAATAAATGAGTTGTAATGCATCAAAATAATGCTTTCTTGGGATCATATCAAAAGATGAATATTACCTTTGAGACTTCTTTCATTCTTCCAGAACTTTACTTTATCAAAATATCAGAGTTTAGCTCGCAGCGTTGGTGCAATTAGAAGTTGTAACATTAGAACTTCTTCATTTAAGCGTGTTACACTGATTTGCTTCTAAGTATGATGTGTTACAACAGAGCTTCAAAAACGTAACTCTCTCATCTTCTATGCTTCTTACATCCGAATTTCTCTACATATTAAAATACATTATTAGAGAGCATATTTGTTCTTTATATATATCATGTGTTTGTTATCATCAAAAATCTTACAAGGATGTAGAACCAAACTATGTTCTAACAATTTGAAGTCTCTTGCTTGTGTGCTTGAACATTGAAATGTATTACTTGTGTGTTTGGGAATTGGAAGTCTCTTGTTTGTGTACTTGAGAAACTTATAATTAGATTCAGTTATAGTCAAAATCTCTTGAAAGTGTGAGGGGATTGAACTACTCTTGATTTGTATGAGGAACCGGGATAAATTGCTTGTGTGATGTCTTTCTCTATTCTTTACTTCTACTTTAGATTATTTTTCTGCTATCCATTAGAATCCGAGTCAGATTCTGAACATTCAGAATCTGATATCAGATCTTAAGAAGAAAAAGCAGAAAAAGTTAACACAATTCAACCTCCCTTCTTGTGTTTTCTCATCTTCAGAGACTTGTTTCTCATTTCTTCTTCCACAGATTCTACTAAAAGAAACTTCTTCGTCTTCTTATGCCCAAAGGAAAAGAGGTTTATTTATTACTTATCCATTTACATATGGAGTAGGGATAAACTGACCATTTATTATAGTTTCCCACAATTCAAGATTGATATTTTAAATGAAATTTTTAATTCTAGATTTCCATAAGTCAAACTTATCACCATTAAATGGTATAGGTGTGTTTAGGAAAGTTCAATTGTTAGAAAAAATTTTGGAAGTCGACTTCCTCCTGAAACAAATAGTCTTTAAATGGGAATTAGACTCTGATGTCACTTGTTGGACATGTGATTCCATACACAAGAGGGAAAAATTATGAAGGTTTGAAAAATATTGGTTAAAATAAAAATCATTTGGAAAATCAAAATTTAAAAACATTTTTAAATAAACTAGTAAATATGCAACTGAGAAAAGAAGTAGATGGAAAACCGAAGGAAATAAATCAAAGTAAACGAGATAAGGGAGAGAGAAACAACGTTAGATATTTATATAGGTCTGGCCAAATAATATGACCTGGTCATGTCCCCAATTGAACACCGTCACTTATATTTTCTTCATATTTGCTCTTAACCTCTCTCCATAGCTAAATCGACCCCTCATCTCGTTGTGTCTGGGGCTTCCTCCACAATGAATGGTGCATCCTCTATCGTGACTGGTGCCTCTACCTCCTTATCCCAATCTTCAATATTTTGCTCTTTCTTTTCGAACTACAATGAGACATCCATCATTCATGTAACTTTGAATAATGGTTCAAGTCTTTACCTTTCTCGGTCATACATTTTATAAGCTCAATCATGTGTTCATAGCGTTTTTTATCACATCGTTCCGCCTACCGATGAGACGACTCAACAAAGAGATGTTGAAACCAAAATTAAAGATCTTGATCTTTGTAATAGGCTTAACATGATCGTCCTAAATGGTGTGGCACAATTTCACAAGACATTCTCAATTCCATTCTTGTAATTGATAACTCTGCTAAAGACTGTTGGAATCGAATTGCATCATTTTTCATGAAAATAAACACTCGAGGGTTGTCCACTTTGATAATTAATTCACTAACACCAACCATAAAGACTTTTCATCCACCAAAGCCTACTGCAATCGCCACAAACATCTATTCAATAAGTTAGAAGATGTTGACTCTCTAGTCACCAACACACTCTTGGTTCTCAAAATGTTCTCTGGACTCATAGACTCGTGTGTTGGATTTGTCACTTACATATAACAACACAACTTATTGCCTACATTTGAAATCGTGAGATTTCAATTGAAACTCAAAGAGTCAACAATGATTTAAAGTGTTTCTCGTAAATTTGAATTTTCACCTAGAACCTTTGTTGCCAAAAATCCTAACTCCACTGATGCCATGACTACCTCATCCTCCTCCTCGGGTAATCAAAATAAGGACACTCTTATAAAAATAACAACAACCCACGCAACAATGGTGGAAAGAATAACAATTTCAGCCGACGAAACTTTGAAAGGGATGACTGGTATGATACTAATAACTACGGCGACAATCAATTCTTCTGCACCAACAGTCGTCGTGGTCAAAACCCACCATGGCAACAGTTCAACCTGGGGCAACAATGGACCCCATGGAACATGCCTTCGTGCTCAATTCCTTCTTATAATTAGACAAGACAAATTGTTTTTTACTATTACTACACCATTAAATCCCACAAACATAGAGGAGTCGGTGCACACCCTCAGCATGGCTTAATCCAATTCGTCTTAACACATGAGCACTAGAACAACATCACATATAACATTTGTCAATAATAATCTCTTATCTTATTTTAATTTAAAGAAAAAACAGAAAATCAAAAACACTTTTTGTGTATCTTTTCTTTGATAATGTCTATCTTTAGTGCATGAGTAACAAATTTTTTTAATTAAATTTCAGTTGAGAATCATATTCCACAAGTAGATCTTTCAAAAAAAACAAATTTCAAATTCTTACTTTATAACAGAATAAAAATAATTAACATTAGCTTATTGTGCAAGCTACAACCTCAATATTCCTCCTCGCCTACCTATAAAAGCGTATTAAACTTGACAAACCAAATAACTAAGATAAGCCACCAAAATCAGCTTCAGTGTTGTTTCCTATAATAACTAACAATGGCAAATTCTAGATCTCTTATGCAGTTGCTTCATCTTCTAGATGACGGAGACGATGACACTGACGCTTACACTGACACAGACGATGAGCCGGTGGAGACACAACCACGACGTTCGCCCAACTCCGATGTTACTCCTGCTACTCAGCAACTAGCCAAGCCACGGAACCAGCCCCCTTCCTCGTTTAACAACAAAGGCACACAAAACATGAGAGGTCTTATAAACAACACTGGTTACACCAAAGGCAATGGTAATGGATCCATCGTATTTGGTGGCTTTGATTCTTCCAATAGGCGATATAATCGCTAATGTTGTAGCCATCAAAACTAAGTAATGTTATGTAATATAAATTGGGGCATGTAAGATCTCAATAGTTAAATAAAATGGTAAGGTTTTAATACCTCTTATCTCTTAGCAGAAAGAAATAATAAATATCATATTAACATTTATATAGATAAATAATTTAATACAAATAAAAATAAAAATGATGACAATTATTATGAGATTGAGAGAATAGTTGTTTTTATAATTATTGTACTCTTTGATTTACTAATTACCAATATTAATAAACATAGGTTTTTTAGTCTACTCTCGTATTGGAAATCTTAACCCAACTTTTTTTCGCGAATTTATAACATTCATGATTCAACTATCCTACACATATAAAATTCAAATACTCTATTTCATTGGCTTGAAATATCATTCTAAAAACTAACTCAAAATAGATAATCTCGCTCAAATACATTTATACATCAAATAATTCGAAAACAAATAATATAAAACGTCAATACAACTTCAGCTAACAAATTAAATAACACACTAGTCAATAAGTTGTTTATTAACACACTAGTTATTAATTAATGCAAAAAAAAAAAAAAACCTTCTAGTTAAATTAACAAATTAAACCAACTATTACTTTGCTGGTAGCCAGAAATCTTTTTACATTTTTCATCTTTATATTGCATTTATATGTTTTCTTTAATAAAATAACTAGTAATATTAGTATGAGATTAATTATTGATCTTACCTATGATTAGAAAGAGGAGTGTGGTCAGTCCAATTGTCTGTTAATCTAAAACGTTCTATATAGGGGAGATTTACCTGCAATGTACTCTGATGTTCAAATCAAAAAGAGTGAGAGGTAAGTGAGATTAAGAGTTATGAATAAAATACTTGACTCTCCCGTGTGGGAGAGTATTTATAGAGCCTCTAGCATTGGGTCAGTGGCTTTCGTTATAGGCTAAATATCCAGGCCCACAATGGACGGCTATTAGGATTCACACGTGAGAGTGAGGATGAGCAGCATGTGCTCCTCATCCTAGGTCAATTGTCCCGAACTTCGCAGATGATGGGCTGACCACGCCCGTTACGAAGAGCGTAACGGCTCCGAAGTGTGTGAAACATGTTGGTGATGTGTCCTCGGGTGAGAGACACGTGAGGAATATGTCTCTTGATTGGGCCTTAACTGATAAGGCCATCAGTTGTGTAATATGGTGGAAGAACTGACTTGGATGTTTTGCATTTTATCGCAACTGTAGCGGATAGTAAGAGTCGCCACCGACTTTTCTTTTATCCAATAAAGGAAATAATGAAAAGAACGGGAAAGACCTTTTGAGAATTTTCTTGAGTTCGGGGGGTAGGTTATGAAAAGGGAAGGTGTTAGCATCCTTTTCATCTGTAGTTATCTACGGGCTCTTAGTCGCTAGCTAACTTTGAAATACTTTGTAAAATGTGTTTGTGTTGGTTTGAAAGTATTTTTGAAAAGTGCCTTCGTTTAGGCGAACTTTGTAATGATTCTCGTCTATATAAGAATGCATATAAAGTGTTGAGTTTTGAAAATATTTCATGAAAGTGTTGGTGTGTTGAAAGTTGTTGATTTTGAAATGTTTGTGAGCAAGCAACTACGAGCGTTCTACCTATTCAAAAGAAAATCTTTGTTCTTTTCCTCCTTCTTTAGATAGTGTTATCTCACCATTAGTTGGTAAGAAACCATATCATTGAATGTGAAGGGACAGGGGTGGATCATCGTACAGTCATAGAAGGCAACATTGTAGGATACTTTAGCAATTGTTGTAAGGGACTAAGATCGTTTACCAAAGGCAACATCTGAAGAAGTGAAAAACACAAGAAGGGGGGTTGAATTGTAAAACTTGAAATCAAATGCAGACAACACGTTATTTTTATCCTGGTTCGTTTGATCTCAAACTACTCCAGTCCACCCGTCAAGGTGATTTCGCCTCTCTCCAACGAGGTCTTAATCCACTATATTCAACTGAATATTACAACTGCTTTAACAACTGCTAAAGCCTTCTTGAGTCTAAACCACAGACCGGTTTCTCAAGGAAATTCTTTCTTACAGATAAATGAATACTATGTATGTTGAATGTTTTCTACAAAAACTTTATATCACAACTGTGATAATACACAAATTAAGCTTATGTGAAACTAGGATGCTATAACTATAGAGTAAGCAATTTGAGAGATATAGCAAGTTGTATGAGTGAGGATGAAGATGATTAGCTTTAGGCGTGTAAAGAGTTGTAGAGCATTAGCCAATTCATTTCTCACTGACTTGTTTATATAGCCTTGGAAAAGATACGTTGTAGTCAATTGTTCCATTTCAATGCCCATTACGTTCTTTCCATATTGAGAAGATCTTTGTCTTGGAATACAGCCGTTGGTAATAAAGTGTCTTGAATGCACAGTACCGTTGTCAATTAAGCGTGTTATTGGCTTTGGCTTATTCTGACACTTCTAGGTGCTGATGATATTGTTTTGGTCTTGATCAGAGTTTAGAGTATGTTAAGCGCAGATCTGTTCATCAAGCTTCAGCATAAGCACATTCTTTGATCTTCTGATGCTGGCGTATGATATTTCATCTTCTGATGCTGGCATATGATATTTCATCTTCTGATGCTGATGTTGACATTCTTATGCTGATATCCATCAGAGTTTCTGTAAATGCACAATATAATTTTTAGGTAGCATATATGTCTCATATGAATTATACAATTTATTTAATCTAGCATTTTGTTATCATCAAAACTTTAACTTAGGGTAGTAGATTCAAACTTTGTTCTAACAATCTCCCCTTTTGATGATGACAAAAACCGGATATTTTTCAATTGAAAATTTTTAAAAAAAGTTATCAGAGATAACCAAATAATGAATTGTATCAGAGATAAACAGAAAGGTATCAAGGATAAGAAGATAGGGAAAAAAGGTATCAGAGTTAAGAAGATAAAAAATGTCAGAGTTATGATCAGAAAAACTCCCCCTGAGTTTATTACTTCCCTTTAATTCCATGAGTTCTTTAGCATCAGATCTTTATTGAACTTTCTTTGAGCATCAGATCTTTCCTTTTCCATAGCAGAGCTTCAGTGTATTGGAGTTCATCAGATTCTTGTACCTATAAGCTTATGCAGAACAAATAAATATTCAAATATATCAGAGTGTTAGAATGTTTGAGACTTTTGTCTCAGTAATCCGTTATTGAAAAATATCATTCTTTCTCCCCCTTTTTGTCAGCAATCAAAAAGTGAAAATAATTGAAGTTAAAAATGACCAGTGCAGAAAAACAATTGTATTCAGTTCAGAGCTCAGAAAATATTACAGATAACATGTAAAGAAAACAATGAAAACATCAAGAAATAAGATCTAAGGTTGGGGAGGAAGGCGTGTGAATAGAGCTTCTAGCATGTTCTTAATTTGATCAGTGGTTTCCTTCTGCTGATGCACCATGCTGACTACTGAGTCAATCTTACTATCCTGAACATCCATCCTTTCCTTCATTCGTTGATCATTCTCATCTATTCTCTCCTGCAGTCGAAGATCATTTTGCTTCAGCTCTTCAAGAGTCTGCCTGTCCAATGCAGCTTGAGAGATGTCAGAATCAGGATGCTTCTGAGAGCTTTCTGCAATAACTTCTTCTTGACTTAAATCTTCAACTGGAATCGTCTGTTCTTCTGTTGGTTGAACTGTTGAAGCTGGACGCTTTTCAGACCAAGGCTCACTGTCCAGATGAAGCACTTCCTCCTTCAGCAGCTGACTCAAAACTGGACCTTCAATTTCTTTCAGCAGATTGCTGAAGTTCTGTTGAGCCTGTTCATAGCTCAGGTCTTGTAGCTTAAAGGTTTCAGCGCATACCCATCCTCTGAATTGTGTCTAGAGTTGGTCTGAAACAGCAGGATCAATCACTCCCGGACTAGCCTGTTTTAGAGAAGAAATCCACTTCTGCATGTCTATTTAAAAATTCAAGATGCTAGAACCAACATCTGGTTGTTTGGGTTTGGGAATGGCGGTTTTATTTTTAATGGCAGCAAGGCATTCAAGGACTGTTAGATCAATGAAGGTCTTGTTGTGGTCATCTGGATTTTGCTTGGGTGAGGGAGTAGGAGAATCAGGAATGATTATTGGACTGGATGGGGTATTAGGTGGAGTAATTTCTAGTGAGGATGGTAGTTGAGGGATATTAACAGTGGTGCCATCGGGAAATTGAATGGCTAAGGGTTGTGGTTCATAGGATTCAGATGATTGAGGTTCAGGGGTTTGAGCCTCAGAGTGTTGAAACTCAGGTTGTGGAGATGATATGTGTTGAGGTGAGGGTGGATTAAGTTCTGGTTATGGAGATGGAGGTTGTGGAATTTCTGGTTGTGGTGAATGTGTATCTTCTGGTATTGGTGAGAGTAGTTTCTGGTTGAGGTGAGTGGGGAGTTTCTGGTTGAGGATTTGGATTTTCTGTATGGGGAGCGGAAGAGTGTTGATCTATTTCTGAAAGAACTTTTTCAAGTTCTGGTTCTGTTGTGGTTGTAGGTTTTGGATTGTGAGGTTTGGCGCGGGATCTTCTGAGGGTTAATGACTCAGAAGGGTCAAACTCAGGTTCAGTATCATCAATGGTGGGAATGGGAATTGGGATTTCAAATGAAGTTGGGGTTGGAATAAATGTTGGAACAGCAGATGAATTTAAAACATTAACAAAAGACAGATTACCTCTCTTCTTTGGGGTCTGCTGAGACGGTCCTTCTGATGCAGCCTTTCTCTTCTTAGTCTTCTTCAGAGTAACCTCTGGTGTTTGCTGGTGTAGATCTTTAATGTTCAGATCAGGATTTGTGCCATCAGCTTTACAAGCATCCAAGTATCTGAGAACAATGACTGGTTTAGAGTCAATCTCAGAGAACATAGGAAAGTTGTCCAGAGGGACTCTTCTGCTGGTGATTTCAGCATGAGGAGTGACGCTGGGCTCCTTCCTTATATTCTCTATCAGCTTCATCTTCTTCAGATTCTTGGCATTCAGCTGCTTGCTAACAGAA